ACCCTCATCCCCTCTCTGGGCCTCAGTGTCCGAGTCTGCACGGTACGGGACTCAACTCTCTTGCAGTTCTGGGAATAAGGGCCCGCTGGAGCAGCCTGGGCGTGTCGCGGGAGCGGAGCGGCGAGGCCCGCGCCGGGGATGCAGCGAGGCAGCACAACGTGTGGGTCTCGCCCGGGTCCCGGCGGGGCGTGGGCGGCGCGGAACGCCAAGCTCAGCGCTGAGGGGCCCCGGGTTCGGTCGCCAGGTTAGGAGGGCTGAGGGCGAGGGCGCCCGCGCCTTACCGGAGATGGGAAGCGAAGTCCTGGGCACCGAGCGGGGGACGCGGCCGAACACCGGGCCGTTCAGCACCGCCAGCAGCAGCAACGAGAAGGGCGAGGCCCGAGGCGGCCCGGGACCCGGGCGGGGCCGCGCGGCAAAGGCCAGCATCTTTAGTTCCTCCTGGCCGCGGGTGCGACGCGCCCTGCAGCCTCCGCTCAGGGCCACAGCGCCGCGGGCCTCCGCCCCACTCCGGTCCGCTCCGCCCGGCTCGGCCTACAGCTGGGGGAAGAAACACAACCTGGCTCCGCCCCCTCGCAAAGGAGCCAATGGCCGAGCCTCTTTATTCCTACAGCCAATAGGGACTGAGTAGAGGCGGGGCTGAGGGGAGAGACGCCTAAGACACGCTGAGGTGGAGCTACACCCAGGTGTAGGTGGAGTTCTACCTCGGAAGTGGGGGAAGGTGTCGCTCCAGGATCTCGAGTGGTGAGTTTGCTCCAGCTACTCCAAAAACTCAAATGCCCACATCTATACTAAAAGGGTAAATATATGGGGAAATGAGTACACTCACCAACTTCCTCAAAATTATTACTTTGCAAGCATTTAATGAAGGCTGTCTATGTGCCAGGCAAACACACACACACACACACACACACACAGAGAGAAAGAGACGATGATACAAAAAAATACTAAAAATCACGGTCCTTGCCTTTAGGGAGCTCCCAATGTAATGGGGGTCCAAAATGTAAACAAATAACTGCAAATAGATAATTGCAATACAAAGTGATGCATGCATGTTTGCTATAAAAACGTGCAGTAAGTGTGGGAAGGGATAGGTTTTGCCTTAGAAACTCAGAAAGGTTTCACAGAAGTGACATTTGAACTGAGTCTTCAAGGATTTGTAGGCCTTTGGGGGTGAGGAACAAACACAGCTTATGGATACATCCACTTTGATATCCTACAAATGACTCAAACACAAATCTTGAGCATAACTCACCATCTCCCCCACCTCAATCCTGGCTCCTTCTTCAGGCACATAGTCTTCTAATTTATAGCCTTGCAGGTATTCCTTGATTTCTCCTCTTTCACCTCCCATTGTATTAGTTTTCTAGGCTGCATAACAAATGTAACAAGTTAACCTCAGAATTTAGTGGCTTAAAACAGTAAATATTTATTATCTCACACAGTTTCTCTGTGCCAGAAATTCAGGAGTAGATTAATCTGGGTGGGCTGACTCCCTGTCTGTCATGTGGTTACAGTCCAGTTATGGGATGGGGCAGTAGTCATCTGAAAGCTTGACTGGGGCTGGAGGACTCACTGCCAAAGTGGCTTACTTCCATGCCTGGCAAACTGGTAATGACTGTTGGCAGCAAGTCTGGGTTATTCTCCACATGTATTTCTCCATGAGGCTGCTTGAAAGTCCTCACAACATGAGGTGGCTTCCTCAGAGCAAGTGATACAAAAGAGCAAGGCAAAAGCCATGCTGTCTTTTATGACGTAGCCTCAGAAGTAACATACAGTCACTCTGCCATATTCTATTGGTCACACAGGCCAGCCCTGATGTACTGTAGAAGGGGACTACACAGGTGGAATTCTAAGATTTTGGTGGGCCCTCTTGGAGGCTGGCTACTACACCCATATATAAGCAGTCACTATGTTCTAATAATTCTGACTCATAAATAACTTAAATCCATCCTTTTCTTTCCACTATCATCAGAGTTCAGGACTTCATCATCATTCACCCAGACTGTGCAATAATTTTGTTAAAAAAACAAAACCCTCCCTCCAATGCCTCCCCTTCCAGATTGCCATCAGGGTGACCTTTTTAAAGTGTAAGTACTGGTTTATTCATTCAGGAGCCTATTTCATTCATTCATACAGGCCCTATTCATTCAGGGCCTATTATGTGCCAGGAATTTTGCTAAATACTAGGCATAATAAGATGATTAAGACATAGTCTCTGAATTCAAATTGCTTACTCTAGAGAGAAAAATCAGACATTTGAGATTAATACTTCAAATCTTCTCTCTGAAACCTTCTCTCTGACCCCAACCTCAAGACAATGGAACTCTCCTCTGGGTTTCTCCCTCTGACACTGACATTTTCTTCTCCTAAGCTGCTCCTCAAGAATATAGGGTAGACCTTAGTCCCATCTCTCAACATGGTTTAGATATTGGCTATTTTTGTCTTTTGATTTTTTCAAAAATCTTTTTTCACATTTTTTGACAGCAACATAAAAAAGAGTTTCACTTTATATCACAACCTATTCACACTTAAGTACATGCATTCATAATATATTAGTGAGATACATTTTTTACAAATTCATACTTATACCATATTTACCTTTACCTTTATTTATAAACCCTGATTTTTTTATACTGTGTTGCATTTTATTCCATTTTTTTAAATACTGGTTGCAGCCCACTAAAATGATTTTAATACCTATAAATGAGTTGAGATCTCCACTTTGAAAAAAAAATCACTGTTCTAGGCAGTCTCATTCATACTAATTTAATTAATAATGATTTCCTAAATATACATTTCCAGGCCGTATTTCTTTTTTCAGGTTCTGAGACGTACATCCAACTGCCTTTTGGACATTTCCACTCAATGTGACCACAGGGACCTTGATTTCAACTTGTCCAAAACTGAATTGTCATCCTCATCCCCATACCAGCCTGAGTAACTGGATGGGTGATAGAACTAATGTTCCCTGTCTCTGCATATAGCTTCACTGTCTTTCAGCTGTCCAAATGTCCGAACCAGAGACTTCACATTCATTATTCATTAAATATTCATTGAATGTCTACTATATTCTGGGCCCTGTCATTCATGATTCCTTCCAATCAAACACAAACATCTGCTAATCTTAACTCCTAGATACCTCTACCCACATATCTGTAGCCCCCCTAGAAACACCCTTATTCAAGCCACTATTGTTCTCTTGCCTGGACTGCTTCCTACCCAGTCTTGCCCCTATGCCCAGCCACCACTGCCCCAGCTTCAGCCCCAATCCATTCCCCTTAGAGTAGGTAGAAAGTTCTCTCCAGTACACAAATCAGACCATGTCACTCCTCTGCTTAAACACTTCAGTCCAGCTTCTCCACACCACCCCAACTTTGCTGTGGTATGAAATGTGAAATCCTTTAACAAGTCCACAAGACCTTACATGTTCTGGCCCTTTGCCTATCTCTCCTGCTTCATCTTTACCGCTCCTCTTCCACATATTATACTCTAGCCTGGCTCAGTTTCTTCATTTCCTCAGAATTCCCTCTGCATAGAATGCGCTCCATGCCCCTTAACTTGGCTAACTCCTATTTATTTTGTTGATTCAGCTCAGAATGAAAATCCCTTTCTCCAGGAATTTCTCTCCAGTTCTCAAATTCTATGCCTTTCCCATGTGTTCCCATAACCTTGTGTTTCCCCTGCTGTGGCACGTATCATGCTACATTGTCTGGTTTCCCCTGCTGTAGCACGTATCATGCTACATTGCCTAAGTACTGGTCTGTCCACCATAGACTAAGCCCCCCAGGAGGACAAAGATGATTGTATTCTCAGAGCCTACAACAATGCCTGGCATTTAGGAAGTCAGTAAATATTTGGTGAGTGTTTGTTTAATACCCTTATTAGTGTTATTACATTGTTTAAATATTCAGGTGTTAATCTAGGTCCTCCAAGAAGCAGATACCAGAGATAAGATTAAGTGTACAAGGATTTTATTAGAGAAAACACTGTGAGAGAAAATGGGGAATGTTTCATGGATGGATGGGATAGCTAACGAGGAAGTGCTAGGTTTAGCACAGTATTTCCAACAGATATCTATCCAAAATTCGACCTAAGAACCAAAGAAGGGCTGTCCCCAGGGCGTCTGGGACTTGGAGATCGTGTCCCGAGGTGTAACCTGAGGTGAACCCTGAGGCACCCGCAGCTCGCGCGGTGAGCCTGAGGGGGCGCCTTCGGCCGCGCAAGGGCACGCCGAGATCGGGAGGGCCAGGTAACCGTGTCCCTGCCTTCCCTAGGACCAGGGGTCGTCCGAGCTTCCCACACCTCGGGGCAGAAGGGGCTGAGGGCCTCGGGGAAGAGCAGCCGGAGTGGCGGCCAGTGGCGCCTCGCAGGCTGGGCTTGGGTCGAGTTCGGGCCGCCCTCAGGCGGCGTTGGCGGCGCGGGCCGGGGCAGGTGCCGGGGCAGGACTGACTGACTGAGGCCGGACACAGGCTCGGCTTCCAGGCGGGCCCGAGCAACCCTCCGCACACGTTTCCAAGCGGCCGGGCCTGCGCGGGGCCTGGGTCCCGAGCCTCCTCTGCGGGCCCACGGGTCTCAGCGCCGCCCATCCGCCAGGAATGGTGGGCGCCCGGCCGGGGGGCCCGCGAGACTGTGTAGGGGCACGAGAATGGTTTAATTTCTTTTAAAGTCGGAAGAAAACAATGAACCCTTAAGACTGAACAAAACGTTTTCATTTTTTCTCACTTCGAGGGAAACAATGGCATTTTTACGACCCACGAAAATCTATTAATTTTTTTTATGAGGGAAGAGGCCCACGAAGGCAAAAGTGCTGAGAGTCCATGTAATTCTTAATGGGGCCCTGCCAGAGGGAGAACCACTGAGTCATTTGTCACATGACAAAGTGTCCTAAGGGCTATCTATAAAAGCACAGGATAGGTGCTTGAAAGAGGGCGCGTAAAGGGGCCCCAAACTGTTAGGCTGAGCCCAGAAGGGTGGGTAGGGTTGAGGGGATGCTCGGACGAGACCATCCTGCAGGGGGCGCCGCGGCGAGAGGCCGATCGCGTTGGTGGATCTGAGAGACGCGGAGGGGAGGGCAGGGCCTGAGGTGCAGACTGGACGGAAGACATTGGCAGAACTTCGTGGCCAGGGTGAGGTGTTCGGATTTGGTTCCACGTGTAATTGGAAGTGGTTGGAGGGGTTTTAGTACAGGAATAACTTGGTTTTTGGTGATTCAAGGCCCAGTTCCAGGTTTAACCAGTTTGCTGGGGGAAACTATTCTACGTGAGTTTTCTTCACAGAAGTAGAGAATACAGGGTCTGAAGTAAAGTCAAATCCTGTTTAGCCGTATACCTACACACAACAGGTGCATTAATAGATCATGCCTTTGACGTCATTTACAGTCTTCCAATTGCACATTAGTGTGGAATCTAAAATAACTGCACGCTGAAACCCATCAAAGAGATCTTAATAATCAGTGGGAAAAATTATGAATACAATTATTTTGTGAGTTCTGAAAATTGTTGTCAAAACAGTAAAAACTCTCTTATTGTCTGTTATAAGTGTATACGGAAACATAAAACAATGAAACTATTTCATACACTAATTTAAAACATTAGAAACATTGAAAGCTAAAGTGGTTTGTTCATAAAAATTTTACCAAGAATAGTTTGAACAGTGCTTGTGCTTGCTTTTTTCCCATTGTAAAATTTATGCTTGAGCAAACATCTTTTGTATGCCTTAGCAAATTGTTATTCTCCTTTTCAAGTTTGCGTCAGTTTTCAATATTTTATCTTTTGTACATTCAATTTTATAGATTATCTCTGAAGGTTTCTTTAATAATGAAGTTTTTTGCCGGTAGCACTTTCTCTGGGGCATCTTCACTTATTTTTCCGTCACAGTGACTTTCCTTATGTTGATAAGTTTGTCTTCGCTAAGTTCCTCTGGCTGCTTCTCTAGAGTCTATGAAATGACTGCAGCACCTACATTCTCATGGTCAGCTGTTTTCTTCTTTAATTCCATTTATGCTCAATTCAAATTTCAGTTTCAACATTAGCACTTTTCATTTCTTTGCATTTTCATTTTTGTTAGTTAATTCCCTCTTTCAATTATTCATTTTTGTAAAATGTCACATGGGCTTATCACTAGGAAACAAGAAAGTAACACAACTTTGCACTTTTCTGTCTGTGCTTAAACTGAATAACATCTGCAGTGACCAGTCACTGACAGACTTCGAAAGGGGTGGCATAGTTGATCACTGATCATCTATTATTTACATAGTGATTTGTGAACTAAGAGCTAGATACGATTTGTACTTTATGTAATTAATCATGGTTAATATTCTGTGGTAAGCAAAATTTGAACTGTGTTGTTGGAGGGCTGATGTTAATTAGTTAAACTGTAGTAACTGAAATCTATATATATTGGAACCAGGCAAAGTGAGGACTGCTTATACTCTAAAATCACAGTGTTTTCAGATGTGAGGGAAAATGGACAAGGAGAGTAGAAGCTCATTATACATTAAATAAGGCCTCTGGGTACCTATTTGAATGTGTGAATCTGTCAGCCTCAAATTCAGCATTCCATGTAAAAAAAAAAAATAGGCGCATGCGCTTAATTTAAGAGTACAGATATTTATGGTATGTGATTTCTTGGTATATACATTAGTCATTGATTTGGATTTATGGTTCTACAGATGACCATATTCATTTATTTTTTTCAGCTGTACTCAGCACATAATTGGAACTCAATAGAAAAAAATGTTGAATGTGCCAGGTGCTGGGGTTCACACCTGTAATCTCAACACTTTGGGATGCTCAGACGGGAGGACTGCTTGAGGCCAAGAGTTCAAGACCAGCCTGGGCAACATAGTGAGACCCCATCCCTAAAAAAAAAAAAAATTTTTTAATTAGCCGGGCATGGTAGCTCATACCTATAGTTTTAGCTACTAGTAAGGCTGAGGCAGGAAGATAGATTGAGCCCAGGAGTTCAAGGTTATGATGAGCTATGATCACACCACTGCACTACAGCCTGGGTGACAGAGCAATACCCTGTCTTAAAAAGAAAAAAAATGTTGAATGAACGTATGCTGATTTCTACCATTCAAAAAAGGAAGTTTGAAGGAAATAACTTCACAGATTCATTTTGAAAAATACATCTATGTATTCTTGGGCCATTTTTAAAGATTCTAAATTTCAACATATTTCTGAAAATTATAAATATTTTTCTCTTGGTCACAGGGGAAATCAAAGAAGCTTTAATTTTCTTTACATCCTTTAGCTAAAAAGCAATTATATAGAATATTAGTTCTCAGAGCTAGGGATATATATTTATCTTTTATCTATCCTCTTATCATGTTTTCTTTTATGATTGTCCTAATGTTCTTTTTGAAATATTTGTATTGTTAAATATAACAAATATAGAGGAAATGTCATAAAACCTGAACATACAGTTTAATAGTTATAAAGTGAACACCCACGTAACCACAATAAAGATCAAGAAATAGGCTACTTGTGGGGGCTCATACCTGTAATCCTGTACTCTGGGAGGCCAAGGCAGGAGGATCACTTGAGCTCAGGAGTTCAAGACCAGCCTGAGCAAGAGCAAGACCCTGTCTCTACTAAAAATAGAAAAAATTAGCCAGGCATGGTGGCATGCACGAGTAGTCCCAGCTACTTGGGAGGCTGAGGCAGGATGATTGCTTGAGCCCAGGAGTTTGAGGTTTCAGTGAGCTATGATGATGCCACTGCACTCTAGCCTAGGTGACAAAGTGAGACTCTGTCTCAAAAAAAAACCAAAAATCAAGACAGAACATTACCAACATCCCAGAACCCCTTTCTTTTGTCCCTTCTAATCAGAATGCCCTCCTTCCTCCCTAGAGAAAATCACTACACTAATTTTTGTGATAATTTCCTTGCTTTTCTTTATAGTTTTACCACTATGCATGCATACTTAAACAATATAGTTATTTTTGTTTATTTTTAAAATATATAGATAGAATCATGCTACATGTATATGTATTCTTTGTGTCTTGCTTCTTTTATTCAATATTATGTTTCTTAGAGTCATCCATGCTGCATGTAACTGTAGTTACATTGCTGTATGTGTGAATATACCATGATTTATCCATTCTAATGTAAATTGATATTCGTATTGTTTGCAGTCTGGGGTAATTGTGAACAAGATTATTATTGAACAAGATTGTTATTAACAGTTTTTTTGCTGCTATGATCTAACTTTATTGAAGATTATATGATTGTGAACAAAAAGATCTAAAGATAAATTATAATTAGTAAGAGAGTACAGCAAGGTTATTAAATGTAAAATCAATATACAAAAATTTGTTATATTTCTATACATAAGCAACAAACTAAAAATGAAATTTAAAAAGATGTCATATAAATTACTATTTAAAAAATAATAGATCCCTAAAACTAAGATTTAACAAAAGGTAAGAAGATCTTTTGGGGAAAATTATAAAACTATAGATTCTTTTAGATTTTCTGTATATGCAATTATATTATCTGCAAACAATGTTTTCTTTCTTCCACTGCAATCCCTTTTGTTTATTTGTCTTGCCTTATTGCTACCTTCACTACAGTGTTCAACAGAACTCCTGGGCTAGGCGCGGTGGCTCACGCCTATAATCCTAGCACTCTGGGAGGCCGATGCAGGCAGATCGTTTGAGCTCAGGAGTTTGAGACCAGCCTGAGCAAGAGCGAGACCCTGTCTCTACTAAAAATAGAAAAAATTAGCCAGGCATGGTGGCATGCACGAGTAGTCCCAGCTACTTGGGAGGCTGAGGCAGGATGATTGCTTGAGCCCAGGAGTTTGAGGTTTCAGTGAGCTATGATGATGCCACTGCACTCTAGCCTAGGTGACAAAGTGAGACTCTGTCTCAGAAAAAAACCAAAAATCAAGACAGAACATTACCAACATCCCAGAAACCCTTTCTTTTGTCCCTTCTAATTATAATGCCCACATGACAAAGTGTCCTAAGGGCTATCTATAAAAGCACAGGATAGGTGCTTGAAAGAGGGCGCGCGTAAAGGGGCCCCAAACTGTTAGGCTGAGCCCAGAAGGGTGGGTAGGGTTGAGGGGATGCTCGGACGAGACCATCCTGCAGGGGGCGCCGCGGCGAGAGGCCGATCGCGTTGGTGGATCTGAGAGACGCGGAGGGGAGGGCAGGGCCTGAGGTGCAGACTGGACGGAAGACATTGGCAGAACTTCGTGGCCAGGGTGAGGTGTTCGGATTTGGTTCCACGTGTAATTGGACGTGGTTGGAGGGGTTTTAGTACAGGAATAACTTGGTTTTTGGTGATTCAAGGCCCAGTTCCAGGTTTAACCAGTTTGCTGGGGGAAACTATTCTACGTGAGTTTTCTTCACAGAAGTAGAGAATACAGGGTCTGAAGTAAAGTCAAATCCTGTTTAGCCGTATACCTACACACAACAGGTGCATTAATAGATCATGCCTTTGACGTCATTTACAGTCTTCCAATTGCACATTAGTGTGGAATCTAAAATAACTGCACGCTGAAACCCATCAAAGAGATCTTAATAATCAGTGGGAAAAATTATGAATACAATTATTTTGTGAGTTCTGAAAATTGTTGTCAAAACAGTAAAAACTCTCTTATTGTCTGTTATAAGTATATACGGAAACATAAAACAATGAAACTATTTCATACACTAATTTAAAACATTAGAAACATTGAAAGCTAAAGTGGTTTGTTCATAAAAATTTTACCAAGAATAGTTTGAACAGTGCTTGTGCTTGCTTTTTTCCCATTGTAAAATTTATGCTTGAGCAAACATCTTTTGTATGCCTTAGCAAATTGTTATTCTCCTTTTCAAGTTTGCGTCAGTTTTCAATATTTTATCTTTTGTACATTCAATTTTATAGATTATCTCTGAAGGTTTCTTTAATAATGAAGTTTTTTGCCGGTAGCACTTTCTCTGGGGCATCTTCACTTATTTTTCCGTCACAGTGACTTTCCTTATGTTGATAAGTTTGTCTTCGCTAAGTTCCTCTGGCTGCTTCTCTAGAGTCTATGAAATGACTGCAGCACCTACATTCTCATGGTCAGCTGTTTTCTTCTTTAATTCCATTTATGCTCAATTCAAATTTCAGTTTCAACATTAGCACTTTTC